AAAAAAAATAAAAGTGACATGATTAATGTCCACTGTTATAATTGCAAAAGCCAAAATAAAACTCTGGCATCCTTGAAAATGTGCATCATTCTCTGCCTGTTTCAATCTGCTCCTCATAAAGTTGCCATCTTGGAGGACTGTGTCCAACACCAAGGTTGGTTTGACCTCTTTCCTCCCATCTCTGACCTCTTCAGATGCAAAATACGTGTGGTCTTGAAAGGTAGTCTCTATGTCTGGAGCGGGGGTTGTCTAGGGAAGGGTCAATAAGGCCTCAATGACCATCAATTTGCAAATATAATCTCCCGTGGGAAGGATTCTGAATGCGTGCAATTGAGTGCACATGCGTGCCCACATGCCCACACACACTCACCAGCTGCTCCCCTCCCGGCAACAAGCTAACTGCCTGCAGCAAGGCAAATGGGAGGCAGGTTGGAAGCAAGAAGCAGCTGAGGTACAGGCCTCACCTGGAAAACAGGTAGGTCATGTCCACAGGGGAAGAGCAACTTTAACAGTACCACCGCTAGGGTATTAAATTCCAGGACACTAATGGGCAATATGTCAACAAGGATAAGAAGAGCAGAAGTAAAGGGTACAGATAGAACGGTCCAACCAGGAATACAGACAGCATGTCTGGCATCCACGCAACCTAGGGTTGGCTCCCGCAAAGGCAAACGGGCCCTTGGCGAGAGAGCTCAAGGGTTCTGGAACTAACACTCCAGCAGGCACAAGGGAAGCACGCCCTTGCTGAGCAGGTCCCTCCTGGTAAAGGAAATGCCACAATCAGAATCCTTACTCTAGGGTGGCTAGCAGAGAACAAAGTGAAACCCAACTTGGCATGATCACACAACGAACCATGCCTATTTAAAAAACCCACTTATCCTTCACCCCAAAGCTACCGAAAGTCTTGGCAAAAATGGCAGGCATGAAGCAAGAGCACCTCCCTCCCTGCCCCCACCGCGAGGGGGTGTGTGTGTCGTGTGCGTGCCCAGAGATGGTTGCTTTTTGGTTCGGGTAACAAACTGAAGGCTGAGTCTTCTGTGCCCCCCAAGTAAAAGTATGGTGTCTCTTCCTTGTGAAGCTTCTAGAGCCCAACGAATGGAAGGAGGAAGGAACCGTGGGCCGTGAAGGAAAGCTGCTGTATAATCCCTGGGCAGCTCCCGAGCCTCTTGCCTGCCATCTCCTCGCTGCTTAGAGAACTAAAATTGCAGAGAGGAAATTCAATTAGAATACTTGAGTCTGGGGAAAGTCCTGAACTGCTTTCTCCACTCACTCCTGTAACAGTGCTCCCTGGCAGGCAAAGCCAACTCTGAAAAACATCTTCAGATACAGTTGAGCACAGGAAGGGAGAATACGATGGAATAAATACAGACTTCTTTGTGCTGAAACATTTGCTCTGAGCCATTAAAGGGGTTTGTCAACATCCACTCAAAAACAGAAACACAATAATGAAATTAACTTTGGGTCCAAATTATTTTTATCCTTGGCAAGAACGTACGCGTCTGACACGGTATGGGGGCGCAGCTGACATCAGCTAAATGAACAAATGAGTCAATGAATGAATGAAAAGAACACCACGACGATAAAGGCACTGGCATGCAGGAGCAGGGGTCGAGCCTTTCCATTTCCGCATCTGGCTGTTAGCTGGGCTTCCCTGGAAACGGACCTTAAGGCGAGATTTCTGCGGCGAGTTTCTGGAGAGGCACCTGTAAGGGATGAAGGAAGGGGCACTTCCTACAGCAGGAGCCGAGCCACAATGCAGGTCACAGCAAATGACTCCCTGATCCCTCAGAAGATGTAAAGCTAAGATGGCCAGTCAGGGCGGTCCCAAAGGAGGCAACGTGGCCTGGCATTTTGGACCCTGGAGTCAATCAGTCACGGGAGGCTGGCTCCCCATGGGGAGGGGCAAATTTGAGCAGAGGCCACGTGAGGGCAGCAGCGCCAGTCAGTGGAGGGAGGGAAATTAGCTGGAGGGACTCGGGTGATCCCTCAGCGGCGACTGGTGCCAGCAGCTGAGGGGGTGAGGGCTTCAGTGCGGAGGAGGGTGGGCAAGATGTGCGACAGCACGCCTCACGTCCCTTTCTCTTTACCGACACTCCACCCCCACGGGAGGATTTGTCTTTGCTGAGACACGTAGAAAAACAACACTGGCTGTATTAACTCTTCATGGTGGGCACGCCAAGGAAACAGGGAGGTCTCCTCCCCGCTACATGCTCGCATCCTCTGAGACAGCGAGCAACGCCTCGTTCCAGAGATTGGAATTTCACAGCGACTCGATTCACGTGCCATCAGTGCGGCTTGGGCCACAGGTCAAAATATCTATCGGATGAGCCTGTCTGGGGTCGCAGAAGTAAACTCTCACGTCACGGTGGAGATTTAAGTAAAGGTGATCAGCAGAGACCAGACGCCAAGGAGGAAGCTTTGAGGCCATAACAATCTGGTGCCTCAATCTTTCCTGCATTCGACTCGATGGGT